CGTGAGATTTTAATCTGTATCATTCTGCGAGTGTACGCGTTTACCTAAATTTTTAGGGGTGGCGCTACACCTTCCCCTAATATTTATTCTTTATTAATCTACTAAGTATAAATAATATTTGCAAGTGGCTTGTATAATATAATACTAGCTGTAATATAACTAGACTTCCTCTGGGAAAAAATAAAAAAAAACATAAAATATGGCGCTATATCAATGCATCTTGGACTCTTGGTTTTAGTTTACCTACTACAAACTACGGAATTAGACTGCTAAGGATTAGATACAACATTTGGTATATTTTCAAACATGGTTAAAACTACTCTCTTTTCTAACATTATTGATATCTCTAAAAATAATTTTTGAAACTTTTGTCAAAATCAGTAAAATATTTTTTGAGTTTACAATATTGTACAAAATATAAACGGACATTGTCTTAATCAAATATTATTTTATTCAAATAATCCCATTGCAATGTATAATGTTTCAATTATTGTACATTATTTATTTATTTATTTTTTTAATCGTATTTTTTATAGCCAATTGTAACTCTATACATGTATTTTAAAGTACATGCATTTAAACAAAAATGTATTTTACTTTCATGAGCCATAACGAAATGTATGTAAAGCCACCTTATAGTAACCTATAGGGGTTGAAGTATAATATTTATAATATTAATATAGATGTAGATCTATAATTGACTACCTACCTTTTTATTTACAATTAATTTAATTTCAAGTTATTTGTCTTTAAAATAATATATTTTATATTTATAATCATTCATTTGCAGTTTACAACATTTATTTCAATATTTAGATTTTAGAATATTAATAGCCAAATTTGAAAGACAGTTTGTAATGTACTATTTTTTAGCTAATTTATCGTCTCATTGAAAAAAAACATATTTTGATAAATTGTAAATGATTAACCGCAATATACTATACTTATCGGAACTATGAAAATATTCTCGAGTCTTAGTCCCTTATGTCATTACTATTATGGTGATGCAAATGCTACCCTGCGCGCGCCGGACGAAAAAATAATTACAATATACTGTAACGAGTAATTGTACTATAATTACTATAATATTATGTACATTGTACATGGATCTGATCAGTAACCCAATCCAAATTATTGCATTAGGTACATACGATAATATGACGCGCTAAAAGACGCAAATTTCTTACGATACGCGTATTACACGTCTTTTTTTAGACATTTTATCGTAAAACGATACTCAATAAGATTCGTGTATTGGACTTAAATAATTTAATTTCTGAAAATGACATAATATTGATTAATGACTTTCGAATATCTTTGAAGATCTTTTTTATATACTTTATTATATACGACAATGATAATTATAAGTCTATCATCTTCTAGTTTTATACACATCGATCAATTATTGTGCTATACAAAATGCTTGGATGAGACACCCTTTACTGCAGTTTACACTCGACCCTATTGATACATTAACCGTTTTTTGATCTATTTAATAACATAACACTAATAATGATACTATATAAAGTCTAGATAAAAAAATCCATTAACCCTTCTTGAATATAGTAACTAATAGTTATTTATTCTCTTGTAATTTTAAAGTATATTAAAGACACACACAAAAAAAAAAAAAAAAACAAGCATATTTAATAGTTTCAACAATATGTAATAATAAATTATACATTATTATTATATGTATGATTCATAAAACCTATTTTATTCAATCTCATAAAGTTGACTGAAATATATCATAGATTAAAAAATTAAAATTGTTGGAAAACAATAGTTTAATATCGTCATAATATAGATGGGTACCTATCTAATGTTTTTATGGGTGTTCAATTATATTTCACGATATTATAAATAGCTAGGTAGTTATTATATTTTGAATTCTATGAAAATCAATATCATAAATAGTTATAAAAAAACTAAGATCGTTATTGAAATTGAAAAGTGAATAATTCGTTGTAAGACAAATTATTGTAGTATTACTTAACGTCTTAAACTATTTTTGTCACCTAATAATTATGGAAAAACAGTTTAATCATTTATCTAATTAGCGAAATTTAAAATTTGCTGTTTTCTTTGTGATATAGTATTTTATCACAGAACCCAATTAATGCTGTTCACCTTAGTTTTCTATAGATTTCATACTATACTAAAAATTATATTTTATAAGTTTTATTCTGTATAGTTTTGATAGTAAGGCAATTATTTTTGTTACAAGTATCAATATTGTATTCTCAATAACTATAATATAGTTAAAATCAAATCCATATAAGTGTAACTGATTTATACAACTATAATTATCTATTTATAATGTAAACAAAAAATTGAAGTTAATCAATCGCATGTTCAATTGTTAGTAAAATTATAAATATTACGAACAAAGTCAATAAATTAAAACCATTTTATAGAAACCCCATCTATTAAAAGCTACGTATTTCTTAGACTTCTTATCACACGTAATATTTAATATTTAATCATGTATAAATTGTATTGCACTATGACAATAATGAAAATAAAAAGTATATCCAAGTAGATAAATTTATAGAAACGTTGTAGGTATCTTGTTTCTTCAGCTGTCATTCCAAAAGACAATAATTTATTTAAATTTTATATTAACATCAAAAGCGCTCATCTATCATCTAATTATATGTATTCTTCATTTTTTTGACCGTACAACACGACGCAATGGAGTAGTTTCAGAATTCACTAAGGTCATGTAATATGTTTAATTTACGAGTGTGGCGACTACCTGCGTGACAAATTTGTCAACAATCTTGAAGATCGTGGAGAAGTTTAAGACTATCTTTAGTGATAAATAGATTTATCTAAGTAAACTGTCAATAAATAATGTACCAGATGGACGACGTGACGCGGCTCCCAGACGTCGCGGTCAAGCGTTGTTATACGATGTATAATATACATAGTTTATTTAGCCAACGGACTCGTGCAATAACAATGCAGACTATATCAACAATAACGTCGCCGTCGTTAAGTCGGAGGAGACCGAAAATCTTCTCCTCTCCCGGCGATGGCTATGATGGTGGTGGTAGTGGTAAGGGGATGAGTTTCTAAGCCTCTGCTAATAATTACGTACCCTCCTGGTGGCGGATTAGTGTTCGCGTTATTTTGCAGTGTTTGCGTTTCGGCTCAAAATGCGAGTTGGCCCTCGATGTCCCGAACAACTTCTTTTATTTTGTGGGTTTATTAATACCTTGGTATATATGAACAATCTTATAATGTCTTCGTCGATACATATCTATTTGACTAAAAAAATAAAATTATATTATAATAAAATGTTTTTTGTTTAAAAAGTATATTCTTGAAATTAAAAAATTGTCTTACCTATACATGTATCACAAGTGTGGATGGTGTTAAACTAGGCATCGTTATTTTTTAACAATAAATTTACATATCTAGTTAAACTAGAAACATTTTTTTTATATAGATTATTAATTCGGTTAATTTTATTCGGTAATCTGTTTAGAATGTCGTCAATAAGAATAAATAATATGTGTTATAGTTTTTGGATAATTTTAAAATGTTGAAATTAAAAAGGAAGTAATGTAATTTTATCATGTTATAATGATAATATTTTAGTATTTTATATTTTACACAATATTATTTTACGATTTTGTTCGTTCCAAATGGTTACTTCTGTGACAGATATTACTATATATTTATTTGGACGTATATAAACTAATAAATATTAATATTCGATTTATTTTTAATCACAAGCGGGATAAAAAAAATATAAATATTTTAAATGTACTCCAAATACCGGAGATGACATATTTTTATTTAGAGAATATTGGAAATAAAATAACCGAACCATTTCGGTGATATTTCGAGTTTTCTATAATAATATTACGCCCATCGCCGACGGTATAATATAGTCAGCCAATCAGAGTAAGCTGTTACCTACTTTGTGAACTTTTTTTTCCTGTGTACATGATTATTTGAGTAATGGACGTTAATATGTATATTAATAAAAATGTTATTTATATTAAGTATATTTTATTATGGTACTAAATTAACCATAAACATTATGTTTGGATAAAAAGAAATACCAGTTTGTAGAAATATGGATAGCGATTAGATATTACTTATAATTTACATATTATCGTAATAAATCTATAATTATCATTATAAATTTGTAAATAATATTGAACTCGATTTTGTTTTATAAAACGGTTATATTGCAGTAATTATTCGTGATGATATAAACATTTTTGAAAAAATTGTACTTTTTCGACTTCTTCTGAATAATTATTTTATACAGAACTCAAGTTTAATAATTGTTGTCTCTATAGAGTATAAAGTGTGCTCTATCAATAATGTTTGTACACATTTGTGGATGAAATTATAATGTTCACTATTAAGTAAAAGTACGTTTTGAATAAAATACGATATTGATTGTACATTTCAATTAATTATATTCTAATCATTTTCAAGAATTTTTATATTATATATATATTTACAAATTTATTGACCGGTAGTTGAGAGTTTACAAGTTGCTTTCAAGTAGTTGATAAATACGCATCGTTGATTTAACTTTAAATATTTACAGAGTACAAATAACAAATGGACTATAAAAAATAAATATTATTCCATTTGTAAATAGGTGCAAACTTGAATAAGTACATTCAGTATTTTTACACGTCCGAGTGAATGTTGAGTGCTACATCAAATTGTTATCAATGGACCGAGGATGTGTATTATTATTTTATCATGTTTATATGCAAACGCTCATATTTATAAAAAAAAAAAAAGATTAATTGTTAAGAAGAAGAAAATATTATGCTTATAATTATATTATAATTTATATTTAGGTATTTATATATATGTACATATACTCAAATATAAACTGTATAATAGCTAACAGTCACGTGCTTATATTATTTTTAGAAATTATTAGATTAATAAAATCTTAACTCTACTATACATCTAAGTTTATAATTTTTTCATCACCGTTTTTTTTTTCATTTACAGACATGAAGATGAGCAAAGTGGGCAACCAAACCAACTCCCAAGATCCTCAGGCGGTTAACTCTCGGGTTTTCGTGGGAAATCTCAACACATTTCAATGTAGCAAAACCGACGTTGAAAGAATGTTTCAACGATACGGTCGTCTAGTGGGTGAGTATATATTATATATAGCTTAATATAATATAATAACGTCCATTTTCTTATATCTTTCTTAACGCAGAATCTAGGAAACAAATGTGTTTCGTTTTAAAATAAGACAAGCGAAAAATTATCGATCATTTTTGAAACTATTAACAATTTATTATTTATGATTTACTTCAGATAACCAATGTGTATCTATAAGTTTTTCATTTATTTAAATAAAGTGCTGCTTACCCCGATATTTTTTTCATATTAGTATATTATATTAATTATAACACAAAATTCAGCAAATATAATTTTCAGAATAATAATATAATTATTTATTTAGATATTAAATTAATCTATAGTATAATAATCACATTATTGCAACAGGATATCGATAAAATCAAAATATATGGTATACTTGTGTACGGGTACCTAATTTAATAGTGCGTGCTATAAATATTATGTATTATCTGTAAAAATTTTACCCTCCAAAAAAAAGTCGAAAATTTTCCCAACTATATATATATATATATATAATATTATGTCATACTGAAAAATAATATGTTTAGTCAACAATTATTCCAATCAATAAGCAATTTGATCGAACATTATACTAAAAAAATAGAACGACTCAATTTTCGGCTAATGTATAGTCGAAACCACTGGTGCTTATAAACATATATCTCTGAGGTTCTGAAAAGCCATAATATGTTTAGGAAAGAATTTTATTATATTATTATATAAAATGATCACAACGTATAAATTATAATGCTGGTTTTAGGTTTGGCACCACAACAGATTACAATAACTAAGTTGTATTTAATATTATAGTGATATGATACTGAAATTAAACTTGTATATACGAAACTTAAACACCAAGTGGCGATGTCGATGTTCGGGCAAAACTTTCCCAATAACCACCTGTAAATCTCACGCAAATGGTCATTTCAAAAATAGGGTTAGACAACCGCAGTTAATAAATGAAAACTGTTTATTTGTACGTAATCCGTGTTTATATAATATTGTGTTAGCTATATGAGGGGAGGGGGATTTAAACATATATTTATTATTGGCTAGCCGTATAAAAATAGCACATCGGTCAGTTTTTCAAAAATATTTTCTCGTTCCAGTGTAATAAATAATTTACAGTACATTTAAAATGTATATAATATTAACCCGACAAACACGCTACGCTTCTATTAGGGTCCTCTAATCTTCTTAAGTACAAAGTTTGCTTACAACAATGTATAATAGTTGTCAGACACATTTGCCGCCGTCTCCGCGCTAAAACACATTCCGAAACACCGTGTCGAATAAACATAATATGTGCTTAATATTAAATTGAATATCTTGTTAAATATACAGCGTAAGTACGGTAATTACGCCACCTCACTTTATATATATACTACGATTAGGTTTTTGATATATTTAATTTTTTGTTATCGACCGGTGATAAGATTTCATTTTAGTTACCACATTATTATTTTTGAGAACCATTTTACATTCAAAAAACTGTGAATTGTTTGGTACGAAAAATCGTATTATTTGTAGTGTCATTATACATATATATATTAAACATATATTGTTCTAAGAGTGTACCTAGCAAATAATAAATTCTTTGTGTTTTAAAGTTTTGATAATGGAATTCGTGTGACAAAATAACCATGTCAGTGGTCCAATAGACATTTTGAATGGTTAAAGGTTTTCTAAAAGTTCTATAGTCTGCCAAAATACGATAATAATACAGAATGATCCTTATAAAGGTAAACATTGTAAAAATCAAATAAAGGTGCTTTTAGCTCTTAGAATAGTTTTCTATGTAGCGTGCTTACTCTCCGTCTCTTCAAGTCGTGATTTCTAAATGATTATTTAAGTCTCAATTATAAAAAGTGTATGTAAAAGCATGAGGTGTGAAGATGCTGTGAACTCAACAGCTCAAGTATATCTGATTATGCTATGCTGGAAGCTTCCTTATAAGTGGCGTTCACGTTTCTTTTTTCCATCGTCAATTATTTGGTCACGGTCTCGTTTTTTGCGTCCTCTAAAAGTTGTTTTTGTATGTGCAATTGACAATTGTGTGAACCATTACAATTATTATGCTCTATAATTATATGTGTAAGATAGGTCAAACTTTATTTATTATGATAATTAAATTAGTGATTCCAATTTGTATACATTTAAATATTTAATACATTATAATTAGCAATAACTAGTCTGAGGAAACGTTGATATCATACATCAACATATTTCCTAATAGTTCTTAGAATTAATGGTAATTTGATAGCTCATTACACTTCACTTTAATGTTAAATTGTTTATTATTTATTCTAAAAAAAATGATTAACGTTTTTGTAGTTTTTTTTACATCATACCAAGGGGTGCTTGAAAGTAAATAATGTTTTCTCGATTTTTTGATATTTATTGTTTTATAAGTTCATTATTTTTTTATTTTTAATGTAATTAAAAATACATTTTTATTTCATTTTCTGAACATTTTAAAACATAAAAATCAAATAACAAACGACAAGTTAAATCTAATAGTATATTAACATTTTTTTACAGTACTGTTTAGGTACGTGTACGGTGTACCTTTTTGCCATTTCACTTCACTCGTCTAAACTTTAAATACTCATAACTTATAAGCACAAAAAATTAACTGGTCATTAGTGAATTGATTTTTATAAAATCAAATTGTCAGAAAAATATTTTATTTTGAAATATAAAATTAAAAATGTATAAATATTTACTGTCATTCAAAAAAATAAAAATTCAAGAAATTATAACGATAAAGAATAAGTAAAAATATATATTTTTAAATATTTTTATTTGATTTTAAACGGGTTAAACCTATTTACAATAATAATAAATGATGTACGTTATACATAGTTAGATTTAAAAAACGAGCATAAACAAAAACACGCAAATCAAAACAAATAACTAGATTTATAGGAATCCATAATTTAAAAATAAAATAAACTAATTTGAAAGTCATTAGCTTTAGTGTAATATAGATATCTAATAACGTTTAATAATTATTTTAATGACTTCAAATTATGTCGGTAATAGAAATATTTCCAAAAAAAAAAAAAAAAAAACATTAGATAATTTTGATGGAACGACTGTGTTTAATTTTTTAAAAAATACGCCCCGTTTATATATACACAGTATTTTATAAATGTATATACACACACACACACACACACACACATATATATATATATATATATTAATAAATGTAGTCGCATATAGTGATGAAAAACCTTTTTTTTTCACAATTTTATTATTATTACGCAAATCGTAGTCATTATTGAAACAATAATTTATACGTACACAAGCGCAAACATACACAAATACACATGGAGCATACAATACGATATCGCGTGCACATACATATATCGCTGTATTATTATACGGTCCACGTAAAAAGGGCTGGGTGTTGATCGGGTGGGGGGGGGGGGGTGACGCGTTAATACGTCGCGCGAGCACGTTGCAAACACAATAGATATATGGTGGCTTTAAATTAAAATCAGCCACTCTAAAGCGTATATTATGTATAATAAATAAATATATATATGTTGTGTATAGTAGTCAAGCGATTTGACGGCCGGCGGCGGCGAACACAATGGCGTAAACCACGCGTCCGATAAACGCGACGGCCAAAATCATCCCTTCCAATCCCCCGCCACTGTGCTCTGCACGTTAAATAGCGGCACACGAGATAATGTCTACCTCCGGGGCTCGAACTTGCAACCTTCGCCTCCCCCTGAAAAAGCACAACGGAGCGTGGTGCGGCGTCCCTATTTAGCCAACAGCCTATCTGTACGACGGTCGCGACGATAATATTATAACGATTACGATAATAACAATAATAATAATAATAATAATAGTAATCGAGGTTGCGAATTTCAATAATCGTTCGCGTGTGTGTTTCTGTAATAGAAATCTTGTGTTCGGTTGAAATGTAATTTGTCACATATTCAGTTCGAATGTGTTGATTCATTTTTGATAATTATTGTTCGTCATAAGAAAACCCCAAAAGTCGATTTTTTTACCCGTGTATTTGAATATGTCACAGCGACAATAAAAAATAATATAATCAATGACTGACATGGCTTTTGGAGGTTTTAAATCGTGATGGGAGTGGACGTGCAACTCCTTTGCGTTGTTCATTCATCATTTGACAGTTAACAGTCTTGACTATCGTCGAACGGTCGAAATATGGAAGCTAATGTTCATTTGCAATATTTATAAACGAATTGTTTTATGAAACCGTCGGCATTTCGAGATACAGATATTTTTCAATTGTTAAAAAACATGACGTTATTTTGTTCGAACAGTTACGGAATTATTTTACACCTGGGAATTGGAATAATGTATTACATGAAGCTGCGAATAATGTTTTCGTTTTCATTTCTGATAAGTATGAAGTGATTAATATTTAATAAAATATTCGAATTTCAGTTCTAGATCCGTAATTGAAAAGTCTTTAATCAGTGATGAACGGGAATCGTAATAATCATTAAACCCAAACACGATGACATTTTATAAGTTTCCCGAAACTTGGTATTATATTAATTTGAATAGATAATAATCTGGCAAATAAATTGCTTGTCGTTGAAAACAGAAACATTAATTAATATTCTATAATTAGGTTTTTTTTTATAATAAAAATGTATACATTGTATGGTATATGTATATATATAATTTTGATTTTAATATCTATATGAACAAACTTTTAGCGAGATTTAAAAACCGTTGACAATGTAGAAACAATAATGTTAATATACCTCTATAGCGGAAAGTATAGGTAGATGGTAGAAAGTTAATCAAGAAATATAATATCAAAGAAGTAACATAGCAAGCGCTCAGTAGAGGTATTGATTGCAAAAAAAAAAAAAAGGGAGGTTATTTTACCAATTTATATAAAGAAGCACTTTAAGACTTCGGAGCCGCTGTCAAAAGACCAATTTCACGCGTAGAAGATAATCGGAATAAAATTCATGTATTCGTCAGGGGTTACGATCGGCCAACGCTTTTAGCTCATTTCAAATGTATGGATCGACAAAACTTGTTAACATCCCCATTGCGTTTCCGAAAAGGTATATGGCGGCAGAACGCTACAGTCCAACCCCTCTGCCACGCGATATACACTTCCTATGTATACATGCGGTACACGCCATGGTAGTACCGGCCGACCCTAAGTAGTATAAGAAACAACGGCGGAAGACGAGTAGAGAATTATTAATTTGAGTATCGTGAGTTGTCAGCAACCTAAAAAATATTACGCTCCTTTGAAATTACTGTAGTCACGTATACACACACATAACCGCGCGCGTGCGTACACTCTCTCTCGGGGATTATTGGAATCTAAACACGTCATCATAGTATGAATTCGGTAGGTATTAACCTCTATAAACAATAAATCAAATCTTAAAGATAAAAATATTTTATTACACATAATGCACATATATATTATTAACAAAGGTATACGACGTATACGTACTATAAGACGCACAAAATCAAAAGACATTAAGACTGTCAGTATACATCCGCCATGTAGTTTATGTAATAATCATAAGCCGATAGCGACAATGGTGAATGGATTTATGAAGTTTATAGCTGCTCAGTATCGTTTTAGTCATAGAATCAGCATATTTTTTTTTTTTTATAAGTGTGTATTTCCGAAGTTAAAGTTTCAGCAGTTATTTAAAAGCTTGTATACCAGTGATCGCTCTGCCCAATACCAGACCGTGGACGTCGTAGGTGCCTTCGTAGGTGTTTACAGTTTCCAAATTTATTAGATGTCTGATCACGTGGTACTCGTCGCTAATGCCGTTTCCACCGAGCGTATCCCTCGCCCACCTCGCAATGTCCAACGCTTTACCAGTAGAGTTTCTTTTAATCAACGATATCATTTCCGGTGTTTCTAATCCTTGTTCTTTTAACCTGCCAACTTGCAAACACGCCAACAAGCCGATAGATATTTCTGTGACCATATCGGCGTATTTTTTTTGGATCAGTTGAGTAGCAGCCAATGGTTTGCCGAATTGTTTTCGATCCAGACAGTAGGATCGGGAAACAGACAAACACGCTTCAGCCGCCCCGAAAGCGCCCCACGCGATTCCGTAACGGGCGTGGTTTAAACAGCCAAAGGGACCTGACAATAGTAACGATGATAAATTATGACGATTATTACGATAATTATTTCGACCAAATAACATTAAATATCAGCTATGTAATGTATAACTATTATAACTATAAGTAAATAATAAACATATATTTAATCAAAAATCCTTACCTCTCATACCCGAGACGCCGGGCAAAAGACTGTCCTCAGGCACTATACAATTGTCCATGTATACAGATCCGGTGCAGGACGCCCTCAGTGACATTTTTCCAGGTATGACAGGGGTTGACAAACCCGCTGTGCCTCTATCTACTAAAAATCCTCGGACGACGCTGTCGTCGCACCTAGCCCACACAACGAACACGTCAGCAACCGGTGAGTTAGTTATCCACGTTTTAGCTCCGTTCAAAACGTACGACTTGGTCTCCGAATCGTATCTTGCCTTGCTCTCCATCCTCCCGATGTCACTGCCAGCATTTGGTTCGGTTAAGCAAAAGCTACCTACCAGATCAGCGGTGGCAAGCCGTGGCAGGTATCGTTCCCGCTGATCTTCGGTTCCGTATGCGTTTATCGCATGCATGACGAGCGATGACTGGACGCTCAGAGCAGATCTAAAACCAAATTAATCACCCATACCTGTCAATGGTGATAGTAGGGCGAGGTGGTTTTATAATACCTAATAATTTGTTAAAGAGGGATTGCTCGCTTGGGGAAAATATCAAGTAGGTGTAACACATTAAAATTAACCACAATAAAAAATCCCATTTTTCTCGAATTTTGATACACGTCTAACAGTAAATTTAAATTATTGAATAAAAGTGAAATCTATACATATTTCACATGATTGATATCTTAATAATTCGATTATTTTATTTTTCACCATAATATTGCTTAACAAGTTCTATTACTATTGATTTTAATGACAACTAAATTTTAAAGTACCTATATATTCATCTACATATAGTTATTACTTCACGGACCCTCCCCCAAACTACATTAAATGAATACTGTCTAACCTATAAGCACTGTCGACTCTTTCCACTTCTCTAGCGATTAGACCGTATCCGACCTGTGACACTTTGGTACAACCGTAAGCCCCGATTGTACATCCCAATGCGCCCATTGATGCCATGTCTTTGAGAACTTCTTTTTCGTACACGCCATCACGATTTGATTTCAATATTCTAGGCATGAGTGCTTTCTGACAGAAGTCTCTGAACGAGGCCTTCAATTGTCGTTCTTCAGCCGTTAAATTATGATCGAGATTTAGCGCATCTTCCCAATCAAAATACGGAGTATTCGATGCGTAACGCACACAACTACGTCGCAAATAATGTCTCAAGACCATCAATGCTGATTTCTAAAAAAAATGCATGCATAATATATTATGAAATGTTTAATTTAAATTCATCAGTGAAAGTTCATTAACAATCAAATCCATATTTTTTGTTTAAAATTATTTAAAAAATGAATCGCTCTCAATTAACAAAACAAAAATAAAATTCTTACAATAATATAACGTATTTTGATTTTTTTAATAATTTTAAATATTTTTAAATTTAATTTAAATACATTTTAGAGAAAAAAAAATTAATTACATTAATATTTTTACTATTGCCATTCAACTGACTGTGAAAACAGGGATATAAGCTTATGCAGTCAAAACCACTGGCGTATGATAAAAGCAACGATGGCAACAGTAGGCAACTAAGAACCGTGTTGAATAATGAACCATTTCTTTTTTTTAAATAATGTTTTTATTCTAGCCAAGTTTCCGACTTCGGGATAAATTCTAATATGATGTTAAAATCATTTAAATTAAGACGAAAAAACAAAATAATTATAAGAAATCATAAAAAAAACCACTACACAAGTACATCAATATATTATGACCCTTACGCCCTCGTTATTTCAAATTTAATTTAATTTAATTATTAGGGTTCAAGTATAACCAGTTATTCATTAAGGAAGCGTGTAAGCTAAGTTTCAAGTGATATAGGCTTAAACCGTCTAGGAAAAATATATATAAATTGATGGTCGAATTCCCCTTTATATGTTTAAATACATCATACTACTGGAGAATGTTATAACTTTTATATTTAATTCGTATATGATTACAATATGATTAAACCATTTTTTAGAGTCTTGATTCTACTAAATAGAAAATACTAATTTTGTGTGTATAACCGAAACCGAGGAAAAGAAAAATGAAAACGTCAAAAACAGTGTCTATTTGCCAACATCGTTTTACATATTTAAAATATGTGTCTCAAACACGCAAAAAACCAGCCTGCACGAGTTGTTTTTCCTACCAATTGGCTTGTATACAGTAGTCAGTTGACAGACAATTGTTAACATTTTTAATGATTTTTATCGTAGTTACAACACTTCATCGGTTACTAAATATCTGAAAATGTACTCGAAATAATATCTATCTCCGGTTCAAATAAATCGGCTATTATCGTTGAACAATGAATTAATGCTAAAAGTAATAAATAGTATTATGTATAAATATAAACTATATAAATACTTGATAATATAAAAATTGTAATATAAATACATGCATATTATATATTATGTATAACAAACCATTTATTAAAGGAAAGGTAACTTTTGTTTAAATATAAGCTTTAAACACAAGTCATTTACATTATGTCTTAAAATCAATATAACAGTAGATAAATATTTTCCGTTTAAGTTATTGAATAGAGGAATGTAATAAATAATAATGCAAAATTATGAAGAGCTGGGTGAAAAATATTAAGTATAAAAGTACAAAATCGCACGCGATAACGTCGTTCAAATATTTTAAACACGCAAAAAACGTATAATTGTTCGAGTTAATAATATATTATAAATAAATAATAGAACATACACGCGTTCTGTGACATCATCATCACTGACAGTTTATAATATACGACATAGGTATGTAGTATGTTAAATACACGACTTATTGAAACTATTTATGCTAATGTATACAAATTAATACCGATTAGAAGTATTATACAAAGATGATACATATTACGTTGGTTCATTTTTATATTTTTAATTACCATGTTATAAATTATAACACATTAATACAAAATTAAATAAAATACAGACTAAAATTAGGAACTCTCTACAAACTAGATTAATATTGTAAGTAGATAATATTACTGTGATAACATTTTTAGTTCTAATATTTGTAATAAATAATGATATTCATATTATTACGCCACAAAGTTTCAGAATTAAATATCATATTATTCATCATCGATCTTAATGCTTAAGTAAATAATCATATTCGTAAACAATATCATAACAATCAAAATTATATCAGTAATATTTATATTTATAATTATACTATATAATATCTAACAAATTACCAATAGCATTCAATATAGGTACATGCGTATTTACAAACTCATATTATATATTAAAATAATTACCGAACAATAATTAGTAATAATATAATTTTTATTTGTTTAGTACTTTCTATCATAAAAAAATATATTTTTATAATACAAATGTATTTATATAAAATAAACAGTAACAAATTAAAATGGAACAACAAGTAAGAGATCAAGTCTATAAGTAGAACCCCTATTCTGACATTAAAGTTAGTCATGTCTCCATCAAGGATTCTGTCTCCACCGAGTAGTCTACATCTAGTCACCATCCTTTCCACACAGAAGCTCACTGCCATTATTTTCAACAGAAAGAGAGCATTAAATCAACAATCCAAATTGATCTTTCAATTGTTGTAAAGTTTATATTAATGTTATAAATCTTATTCAAATTATTATTCTTATTTTATTCATCTAATGCGTGTTAAATTCACATCTTAATTATTAAAGCATCCGGTTTTCAACACCCATCGGGTAAGAAAATATATTTATACATTTATACTTCAGTACATCAAATACGGAAAGAATATCATCATTAAATGTAAAAATAACACACGTAGACTCCGGTATTCCAAGGAAGGTAAACATAATCTATATTTATAAATCTATATCTGCGATCCCGAATAAATCGTAATAAATAATAATAATATATAGGTTTTAACAAATAATAGATGGAGGTAAAAGAACGTCAAAACTCTTAGCTTCATCGTTTATGTTTAAAGAAATCTAACGATAATATCTAAAAAGTTAATATAGCTATTATTATAAGGTAAGGTTTCATCAATAACTTATTATGTTATGTAGGTTTTATTATGTTTACTCTATTCTATAAATTATCGTCATAATAATATAATAATGTAGCAACAATATTTTTTTAAGAAACTTCGACAATAATCTTATAAATCCGTTTTGTTTATATTTTTGTAAATAATATTATAAATATATTTAATAAAATTTATTTAAATATTATTGTTGAAATATCAAATTTACAAATAGTTATAATGTTATATGTTAAAGCAGAAATCGGATATAGTATTTTATATTGATGCATTATAACCTAACTTATTCATAGTTTTAATCGATAACCATAGGTAAGTTAAGTACTTAAATGTAATAAGACCTGTCAGTACCTATTAGTTTATATTATTACGTATTTATATTCAGTTGGAAGTAATGACTTATGTAAAAAACTATTTTCATATTATAATATCGATTTGCTGAAACATTCGTATTCAAAAAATGACATGTTTTAAACAGGGCGAAAATCTTTTAAATAATTATACCAGAAAAGTAATAATCTTAAGTAAGTTTTAATTAGATAATTTGTAATTTGTAAAAATAAATTTTACCTGCATCATGACGGAATACCGGAACAATTTTGCAGGTGGTTAATAAATATTGTATAAAATATTCAGGATAGTTATCTACAATTACTAGTCAGATGATGGTGATTGACAATCGTAGCAAATAAAAAAAAAACATAACTGCGCAGACAACTTACATTATGCTATTAGACGAAAAATAAAAACCGATACGCGTTATCAATCATTGCGAACATTCGTGTAACTGATAAACAGGTGAATGGTTATCAGTTGGTTGGTGGGTCGAGTACAGTTTGACCAACGTACCCGGTAAAACGCAGTATCATAATTTGAAGTAATAATAATAATATTATTAACCCTTAATTGCATGATTTTTTTTTTCTTGCTGAAAATAAATGTTTTTGATTAATTTGAGTATGGGGAGTTTGTTAAAAATAATTTAAAAATTCCAACTTAAAATCCAAACTTGAAAAGCACAGCTTTTAAGTCCGTTGCACAAATGCAACTATATGCGCACCAACTTTAATTTATTATTATTTCTATTTCCATATGTATATTATTTTTTTAATTTTAATTTTAACAACTTTTATTATTCTTATTCTAACTACAGTGGGTTGAGTGGTATTTTCAGAAAAATTATTACTATAAGTAGAGGGCAGCAATACATCATCAGTTACATCATGAGGTACAGATATAACAATAGGATTATTATGATTTAAAGATTCAACAAATACCAAATTTTCATCTATGACAGGTAGTTCTACTTCATTAGAATTTAAATAACCATCCATATCTTCTACAGTTACAAACTCATTTAGTTCATCAAAGTCATTTTCATCAAATTCATCATCAGAATCCACTGGTATTTCAAACAGCGCATAAAGCATTTCTTGTTCAGTAAGACCTTTATGATTCGACATTGTAATATAAAAATATAAAAACTAAAACACGTACAATATTATTTATAAAACTAGTGTCTAGCACAGAACATAATAATGTGTCTAGAAAGTAAAAAATATAGGTAATATAAAACGTTTTGTAATTATAAGCATGTTTTGTAATTATTTTGTAATCAACAAACAAGTGGATAGCGTGTGTAGACAGATAAGAAGTTTGTACGCATATAGTTGCATTCGTGCAACCGGAGCTTATCATGGATTATCATTGTACCATTTATCGAAAAAACCTAAACGACAGTTGTACAACATAGTTTAGATGTACGATAAGCGATACACATTTTTTGATTATTGATATCACATATATTTTCAATATTATGATTCTCCAAAGTTATCATATATCCATTTGGTCAACGTACAATCACTCATTAGTTTCAGGGAATTATTAAAGTATAAATAAACACTTAACAGTAAACAAATATGATATCAAAATAATCAGAATTATTTGACGAATACAATGGTGTAATCAAACTATACATACCAGTAGTTCTAAGAACAGAAAAAAATAAAAATAATAATGTTGCATGAATGCAACTATATGCAATTAAGGGTAAGTATACACAGAACCCGCGAATTCTTAGTTCTCAGTCAATAAAAAAACGAAATGCGACATCATGAACTCCCTATAAATATATATACAGTGAAACTTCCCTTAATGGACACCTCTAAATAGCGGACAATTCCAAATAGCGGACGTTTTTTCGGGGACGGGGACATTTTCATTATTTATGTATAGGAAAACCTCTAAATACAGGACACCCTAAATAACGGACACTTTCATGACACTGGTATTAATTATTTTTATCTTAAATTAAGAATTATTTTGGAATACCTGAATAAAAATCTCAATTATTAAATTATCCTATGTGTACATTATTAAACTGTATATGAAAGTCTTATCTTATCCGTTCAGTCATTGAAATATTATCACATCAACGAAACATTGTAACTAATGCATTGTCCTATGTATGTTTAGTTGTGTTTGTAATGCCAATATACGAACGTTTATTGTAGTGCGCTATGGCCAGCAAAAGAAAACGATTAACTCTAAAAGAAAAAATAAACATTCTGGAATTTCAAATATCAAATACAAATATGGGCATTCTTGGGCATTTCAATCTGGCCATTTTTTTAAGATGTATTTAATTAATGTAAAAACAAAATACAAATTTAGTTAACTAGTTTTTTTTTCATAAATGTTAGTTTTATCGTGTGTTTAATTAATATAAAAATAATATAAAATAAAATTATTGAATTTATTTATTTATTGAAAAAAATGTTTTCCTCTAAATAGTCTAAATAATGGATAAAATTTCAGCGACCGAGAGTGTCCGCTATTCAGGGGTTTCACTGTATATAGATTATTTAAGTATTGAAACGCTAAGCATTAACAAATTTAAAACAGTTCTTTTTTTTTATTTTTATTTTTAAATAATCTCACTAATATCTATCGTAAACAATAAGAAAACAATATTGAAAATATTTTAAATGATATAATTTTAATCACAATAGGTAAGTTAGATGAATTATTTTGAAAAATTCAATATAGTTTACACGCAGAAAAAGTTTAATTTTTTTCAATATAAAATTTAAAATCATTAAAATATTAGGAAAAACGAAATTTAATAATAAATAAATATTTTTATTGTAATTACAGAATAATAAAAATTAAATACCTTCAATGTATTTATATGTTTTTAGTTTCCTTCTGAGAATTACTGTATTAGTTATATATATTTATGTGTGTGTGTGCGTGTATAATTGATTTGAATTTTCCAAGAGCTACTTACTAGTTAAATTCTCTTCTTGTTTTTTATTCTGAGGGAGGAATTATGAATACAAGTACGAGGAGCTAAGGTTTAAGGTTTTACTGATGCAGATATAAATGGTATCAATTGTATGAAAAAATTTAAACAATGACTTGAGGGGAGAGGGTTAAAAATAAAACATTTAAAAAAAAAAGTAACTTAATTATCTTTGAGCTTGGTGTACAAGTAATATCATTAAAATAATAAGTCATTATTGTAATGGTTGTATTAAAAGAGTACGGAATTTTTTAAAGTTTGTCTAGTCCTATCTTATTATAATAATATGTTATATATACATGCCACAATTTTATATCGATAATCATCCTATTTTAATTTCAGATGTATGAGTATGTTATTTAATTATTATCTACTTGTTCTTAAAACGTCATAATAAAAATAAAAATCGATATGCTTGTAATTTGAAAGTAGGTAATTATTATCTATGGTCAAATAACACTTCATAGAGCGCACTTTCACAATATTATATTTACATTATCAGAAAACATTTTTTTTACGTGCTTGTTTTCTGACATTGGCATATAATAAAAACTTAAAAACTAATAAGAAAAATTTGTTATTTTAAATATTTTAGATTTATTGTGAAATTGAAATGCTAAAATAAAAGACAAATTTGTATGTTAATAAAGAAATAAGACTAAAAAAAAAAAAAAAACTAATAAATATTAAATTAATATTAAATCAAAATTATTTACGTTAACTGCGACGGTCAACGAAGCTGGTCAACTAAAATAATTTGTAAATTTTGAGTATTTAGAAATAATAGGTAAACGAATAATCAGAAATATAATAAATTAATTAAAATAGATAAACTTAAATATTTTTTAGTTATTAGATAACAGTAACATTGGATGAGAACTACTAGTCTTCAATTTCAAATTAATAATTTAATTCAGGGGTCGGCAATTAAATTCTATGGAGGTCTAGAAAATCAAAAAAAAAAAAAAAAAAAATGTCGAGGGCCAGTAAAAACTCAGATATTAGTTAATAATTGTTGTGTTATCGCAAATATTATTGTAAATAGCAATAAACGATAAATACCATCGTAATTTCTAAATACATCATAAAATAGATAAAATATATACTTAGTATATGTGTGAAAAACCAGCATTATTTAAAAAAATAATTTTTATGGTCCAATTACTTTTCTTTTTCGGGCCGCCTATTGCCGACCACTGATTTAACTAAATAGATATACCTACTTATAAGGTAAATAATAATATATTATATACACGGTAAACGGTTTTACAAAAGCATTGATTGTCTTATGTGATTAGTTATATCATTGATTATAGAATATATATTTATTATTAATAAATATATTATTAATATATTAATATATTATTTATTTATGTATATTCTATTATCAATGGTTATATTATTCAAGAATATTTTATGTACGTAATCTGTCGATACTTATACTCGTATGTAATAGTATATATTATTATATATAAGCCGTTAGGTAGGTACTACTAACATTTAAATGCAATAGAATAAGACATTGTCGTTTAAAATTTGTAATATAACTTATTGATATATTAAATTATTTTGAGATTATATTAATTATCATTTTACGTTTATATTATAGATTATTGACAACGGATTGTTTATAATTATTTTTTTATTTTCATAAACAATTCTGAAATAATATTATGCATGAGCCGTGTAATAGCTATTTATATCGCTAAAATCACAAAGCGAAATTAAAATCAGTTACCTGCTTATAAAGTGCATTGAATAGATTCTGAGCACATAATGCAATGATGGTCATCAATTCATCATACTCCGCAGTCGTAGTATAACATTACTAGTTAGTAGTCAATACCGTGTAAATGTATTACATAAAAAAACTTTGTATTGTATTCCAGAATCTAGAGTCCAGACAACGCATTTTTAGAATGTAAAAAAAGTTTAAAAATGATTCTGTTACCTCTAACCTTACGTAGGTCATGATCGTTGGTTATCGGATAGGTAAATGACCAACAATCAACGACGTATAGCTATATTTTATATTATGCATAGTATTACACAAGCTGCGTCCCTACAATCTATAACTGGATCTTGAATACTTTTGCGTTTTGAGGAAACTTTGGTTAGAATTTATCGAAAAATGCGTGACAATATGTAAAATCATATGAAATAGTCATATAGACATATTTAAAAAATAAAATACCTATAATTTTTGTCTTATTTTACATAATCGACAAGTTTTTTATTTTTCTTAAATTAAAAAAATAATTACTGTAATGAGTGTTACATTAAAACCGTTTTTTATTAAAATTAAAATAATACAATTATTATTATGACATTTTAGTATTTTTTTTCCAGATTAATTACTTGAAGTACGGAAAATACAAGACAGCCCAAAAACGAACTGTCACTTGTTTAAATTATGAATTTAACAATTTAATTGAATTGCATTTAAAAT